ACAGAATACATATATTTTAAAACAATTTTCTTTTTAAAATGTGGATGAAATGTTTTTCTTTTTTATGTATTTTTAATGTATTGTTTTTGATTTGATAACTTTGAACTAAACAGATTTTCTATTAGCTTCACATCTTGATCAAAGTTTGGCACCCAGTTCATAGGAGTGCTTATATTGATTTTCTTGTTTTCTGTAAAGATTTTATTGGAAGGTTTGCAAATGTGTATCAGACTGTGCAATTTCTCCATGAGTTGGTTTTGAAACCCAGTATGGGATTCTGAGATACATTACCAAGGATATTATTACAAGATAAATGATTTGCTTCATTGAACACATACAACAATGCATATTTCCACTGAGATCAGTGACCTTTGATGTGTATCACCAGTGATCAGTCAAGTAGAAACAGTCAAAATATTTTATCAGATTTTCTCGATTTTTGCATGATATTTTCATACAGGACATCTGTTGTTCAAACTCAGGGAAGACTTTAAACTGATGAATAAGGTGACCAAGTTTGATAAAGTTTGGAATAGAATTAGTAAAGTTATTATGTACACAATAACAATTATTAACGACGACGACGACAACAACGACAACGCCAGACAAAATTTTTCCCTTAATAGACCTTTCCCTTCCATCTTTGATGGTACGGGCAAGGTAAAAAGCAAGATAGTTAAATACATATAAAAAAAAAACAATAAAATTAAAAAGGATAAATAAAAGATATTATTTCGATTCCTTGACTATACATATTGTACAGAATATTGAATGTTGTAGCATACATTGAAATTTTAGGCTGTGTTTTGAATCTAATGCCAATAAGGAGGCTAACGCGAGACTTGTTCCCATGTGCAGTGTACCGGTATTACTCTGGAAGCTGATCATTTCCTTGTAAATGGTGCCCTCTAGTGGCACACTATAAACAGTAATAAAACTATCAGGTACCAGTAGTTACTTTCCAACATTTCTAATCAAATTTTTTGGCTTTCTCTACCTTCCAAAGCACCCTTTGTATGATACTTCGTCATCACTACATACTATAGTACTTTTATGTTTATAAAATCTTTCCCCCTCTTAATAGAACCTTCACATTTCTGGCCATGATGTGACTATTTCATCTTTACAATCAAATGTACAGGCAGTAAAAATACTTGGATGGTTGAGAATAATCAAAGTTTACATAATTGTTTATGAACCAAAATTTTAGCTTGAATACTTTCTCTCAATCTATAATATGACTAGGTATTAAAACAAACAATCAACTAAATATCTGTGTAAATATTAAAGCACAACACAATTCAGTGTGTTAATTTCATTTATTTACAAACAATTTCAGAGAAATAATAGAAATAAATTCTGAATGGGAAAATAAATTTTTCTAGTGATCAGTTACTGATGATTACTGTGTAATAATAATAATATTTATTAAGCCTTCAGAATGGCAACAAAATAAAATTGACATTGAGTCGAAAGCTAGGTGAGTGTGCTAGACACTGTTGCGAAGGTAAACAGTTTTTCTGGAGCATTATTTTACAAACCGTAAAAATTATACAGAACAATTTACAGACGCATGTCATTCAATTGATAATCTCAACACCAATACATGTATCTAGTGTATGGTGCTAAAACTGAATGACAGGAAAAGACAATTTTCCAAGTTTGAGCCAAATTTAAGATATGGCATGTTCGTCATAATTTCAATATCATGGCTACATGACATCAGGATACTGAAAATGAAAAACAAATAGGATCACCAGATTATTTTTCAACACATATGAATGTCAGGGAAAATGATCAAAATTGGCATTTTTACATTGTGATACGAGATGTATGGCGTGTCATATATTCTATCATCTGGAATGAGCAGTATTTATCGCATCTGATTTCAAATCATCAGAAGTTGATTCTGTTTTTTTGTTTTTTGAACTAAGAGCATCACTCCAAGATAGTTCTTTCAAGACCACTTCATTTCTTTTTATTGTAGGTGCTATGGACTGTATTGTGTCTTTGAAATCTGAAATCTAGGAGAAAAAATATTTAAAAATAAAGAATCATCACAAAATGAACTTATCTGATAGGTGTAACCTACATTATCAAATACAAATTCGACTTCTAGTTGTCAAGAAGTGCTTTATGGCAAAAGTTAATGTAATATGGGATGGACAATATATACATCTCTGAAGACAGCGAAGTAATAATGTTGATTTGAAAATATTAACTAAAATACTGATTCCATCTTTTCAATAGTACTATAATTTTCAGAGATAGAACATTACAGTGCCCTCTATGCATGGAGGTGATGTTTATATAGCACCCTCTACACCTTCTGCAAAAAAATACAAACATGACGTTGATTGGTACACTCAGAAACACAATATCATGTGTGCATGTTTACATTACACCTCATACCTAGTTCGTGAAACGGCATATCTTAGACTTCTAGTAAAGTGGTTTATAGATGGTAATGCTATTTATTTTTGTTTTCACATACACACATATTGCCAAACAGAAAATAAGTCTAACATTGCTTGAACAAATGATAGTAATTTGCAAAGAATATAGGAAGTAAAAATACTTGCCTGTATATTGAATAAGTAAACATATAGTGATTTGCAAAGTGACACAGCCATTAATACTCACAAGATAAAGCACATACATGTAGCTAGAAATTAATGCAGGTTAACATTTAACTTTAGTATCAGAAATGAGTACTTACACTTTGAATGGAAAACACTTTACAGAAGACAACAGTCAGGAAGCCTACCCCAGACACTGAGAATAGTGTGCCCCATCCCAGTGCCCTCAATCCCAATGCAGCACCACTCTCTGGCATTTCAGACGAGGCTACTGGCAGAAACCCCTATAAAAAGTAAACAGAGAAAAAGAAACTAGCCTTGCATGTCATGATGTATATGGAATAAGTGAGAAAAGCTAAGTTTCAAAAATTTAAAACAGACTTGTTAAAAACAGTTCTTTAGCTATTTGTTTTCCATGTCAAGAAATCAATTACTCAGTATATCAATCAGCAAATGTTTGCTATTGTACTTACTGGTAAGATAATTAATGCTTTAACATACACTAAAACCCCATCTGATTGTGTTGGAATGAAGAGTTCTTCTGTTTGTGTAGTATTTGTCAACTAACCTTGTTAAACATTGTAGGGCTTCTTTTTTTGGTCATTGCAAGTGTTGTAGTGAACCCAAATAACATAGCTGCACCAGCTACACCAGTCAATAAAAATAAACCTATCAAAAAATGTTTATATGACACATAAGATGAATGAATAAACCACCAAGTCATTAAAGACAGGACAAAGTTTTCAATTTCGCAATCGGAAAATAAATAATATGGTTTCATATTAAAAACAAGCAGCCTATTGGCTGAGATAGCTCCGCTGTTAGCAATGCACATTTCAAATAAACATATCATTAGAAAATGAACAATATGTATAGTAGCAGAGCAATGGGACTTGCTGTTTTCAACAAGAATTCAAAAATATCACTTTTCACTAAAAATGACAAAATTAATCATCAAAATTAGAAAATTAAAGATATCACCACGAAATGAACAAATCTGAAAGAAGTCCACATGTAGTACCTATATATGTAATATAAAAGCAATCGGACTTGCGGTTTTTAACAAGTCGAAAATATCACTTTTTACCAAAAATGACAAAAATATTCATCAAATTGGAGAATTAAAGATATCATTACAAAATGAACAAATCTGAGAGAGGTCCACATGTAGTACACCTATATATGTAATATCGAAGCAACTGGACTTGCGGTTTTTAACAAGAAGTCGAAAATATCACTTTTTACCAAAAATGACAAAAATATTCACCAAAATTAGAGAATTGAAAATATCATCACAAAATGAACAAATCTGAGAGAGGTCCACATGTAGTACCTATACATGTAATATCGAAGCAATTGGACTTGCGGTTTTTAACAAGAAATCAAAAATATCACTTTTTATCAAAAATGACAAAAATATTCACTAAAATTAGAGAATTGAGGATATGACAAAATGAACAAATCTGAGAAAGGTCCACATGTAGTACTTCTATATGTAATATCAAAGCAATTAGACTTTTGGTTTTTAACAAGAAGTCGAAAAATATCACTCATTGTCAAATTTTAGAGAGTACAGGAAATGTTTCAGTAAGAAATTGTTATGCATATCAAAATCCTTTATTGGAACAGAACATGTTATATATATTCACCAAAAAATAATGTTGCCATGTTTCTAGGCGTACAACGAATTCGAAACAAAAGAAATTGTCCGATCCAAGCGACCTACGTCCTTGAGAATCTAGTCTTATCGTCTTTGCCTTCCGAGCGAAAAAAAGTTGAGGCCAAAAATAGGATAGGTCAAGTAATTTATTAGAGACGCCCGTAAAACCAAAATTTGGAAAGTGAATCACTCCGGCGGTGAAAAATCAGTGATACCTGTAATAACTACAGTCCCTGTGTAATAACCAAAGGGTGAGAGACTATTTACCAAATCCAAAATTTAGCGTGAATACCTTTCCAAGCGAAAAATAGCTACATCGATTATATTTTGCTTTTAGTAATCGAGGGTAAAAACCGTGTTTATGCTATGAGAAAGTGCAGATCTTGAACGTACTTTAGTACAAATACATTTTTGCCTATCACGGCAAACACAATTTAATGCAAGTGAATTTCATTAGTTGTAAGCGGTGTCCAATATGGTGACAAAGGGCCAAAACATTGTTATGCAAATTAGCTTTAGTTGAAAATTTGAGTTTTCTTGGCGATATCTAAGTGAATTTGAACCAAAATGTTTTGCAAATGAACACGTCAAGCGAAAAAGACTTTTTCGAGTCATGACGTAAAATGGAGGCACATACCATTTTGACTCTTGAGGGGAATAAAATTAGTTGATTTGTGGGTGTCACAATAAGCGAGGGAGTAAATCTTTTTAATGCTACGAAAAAATTGAACATACTTTGTGGACTTTAGTACAACGTAATTTTTGTTTGATTACCTAATGTTTTTAGGTTCATGTGCTATAAGTTACAGAGCACATACCTAAGCGACCGTCCCTCAGCAAATAATGAAGCAAAGGCAATTTTGATGTCGAAATCACGAAACTCAAACGCAAACTGGGAAAGTACGAATTACTAAATGAAGTACAGTGCAAGGAAAATACATAAAACACATACCAAAAATTATATCTGGGTGTATTTTAAGTTTAACTGGACCGAGAGTGTCAATTTCTTAGTACTCTAAATATCCAAACATATTTTAGTATAAGGTACACAGCTGATTGAAAACTGTAATTATAGAGTTATCGAATGAAACGTTATTGTGATGTAATTAATTACGTAATTATATCGTTATTTTTCGCTATGGTGAAAATACGTTTTTTGAAAACGTCATTATGATGTTTATAACTATAATTATACAACGTATTTTTGAGACTCCATAAAAACGATCTGAAAAAACATGACATCGAAACATTTTATAATTAGTTCATTATAACGTAATTTTCTACAAGGTATTTATTATGTTATTAAAGGTCAATATTGGACTACCATTAAATAATTTCCCGCCAATGTTTTCATATAACTTATTTTTGATGTTTTTATTTCAAACGTTATAACGTAATAAAATGAGGCTCAATATGAACTATTTTAAACAAGACATGACATGTCATAGCCCCCGCTCAGAAAAAAATTTAAAAACTTATATTGAACTTAGTTTGTGTCAGAGTGAATTAATTCATTATGAGCTGTATTAAAATTCTGTTATTAATTGTTCAGAATTGATGTGTTACAATTTTAGGGGGTGGGGTAAAAATTTATTCATTTGGCTTTTCTGACACAATTTATAACTTGTTAAACATATAATGTGATGTGCACTTGTAAACAATTATTACCTGTCCCTGTAACCAAATTTGAACAAAACTGGATGACACATATCTGAGAAAAAGCTGTTAACAGCTAGAAAAAGCTTGTTTTTTTTAGATTTTTGAGGGAAAAATGGCCTTCAAGTCGTAAAACTTTATCCAATCAAACAGGTCATGAATGACAATCCTTGGTGTACATTACCTGTGTCAACAACT